AGAGAGCGCACCCGGAGAGAGTGTGCAGATTGACAGAGAGAGAGAGAGAGGTAAGACAAAAGAGTGATATGAGTGGGCTTTTGTTCCCTGATATTATTGTTATTTATAAAATAATAATACTAATTATTATTTCCCGTTTATTTTCATTCACCCCCGTTCATAGGCACACGCTGACCGCAAATGAACCGGGCTTGAGAACTGGCGGGGAAGAGCGAGAGTCAGCAGCACGCGCTCCGTTCAGAGAGAGCAAAGAGTGAGAGTGTGTGCAAAAGTGTGTGACCGCAGAGATGGGACAACATGTTGCGAGAGATTGTGCGCTCAGCGAGAGAGAAGGACTGCAATGACTGAGAGAGAGTAAGAGAGGAAGTAATTGAGAAGGCTGATCTGTCGTCTTTTGGACAAACATCATGCATCTGGCCCTGGTAAGAGTCTGAGTGCATTCGGACTTAGCTTCCAATTGGGCCCGGAAGCTCCCTCCCAGATTATCCATCCCGTTTGCTGATTGTTATTTCTTCGCTGCTTCGGTTGAGCACAGTGTGGGAAAGGCTAGCATCCAATCAATGCTAGAACGAACTCAGGAATACTTTCTGGTCATTTGGGAAGCCAAAAAAAAAAAAAAAACGTTAACCGAGATCAGTCTTCAAAAGGAAGTGTAACAGGCGATCCAAACGTATCACAGCACCCTGCCGCTCGCTGAGGACCTTGGATGCGGGCGCAGCGAGTGACAGGCGTTGTGGCCCCTGGCTTTAGCGAACGGTAGGCGACCCCTCCCCGGGTTTCCTCAAGCCGGTCCTGTACCTGTCTGATGGAGCGGCTCCTCATCCAGTATCCTGTATGCAGTAGAAATACAACCTCCACGACTCGTCTGCAAAGTGACAGGATCAGGGTCATCCTCCAGCGATGCTGGGGGTGGTCGGGCACTTGGCGAAGCATGTGTGGAAGATCGCCCTTTCGGACGTCGATGACCATCTCCCTGTGCCGCACCTGCTGTGGGCGGTCGTGACGGCGGTGCAATCATCGTGCTGCCCCGTCGATCTGCAGAACACGATGACCCGACACAAGGATGCTCCAACCTATCTCCCTTCCGTACCCAGCCTGCTGCATCCGCAAACATCTATGTCAACCTCCCCTCACGATCCCTCCTCTCATCCGTGACCCCAAGCATAGCATCCTTGAGTTTACGGGTGACCCTGCTGATGCCGCTCCACGATACAGACTTCCCCTTCACCTTTGATGAAGATGATGGAGAACCCTGCACCTGCCCACACCCTCCTGCCGTCGCCGGCGCAGCAGAACCCTCTCCCCAACCAACCCTCCCGCCCGAAAGGCCCGACCGTCCGCCGACAACTCCGGGACCACCTCCCCCGCCCACAACATTGCCACCAGACTCACCTCCCCGTCCACTCACCGCCCCTCCACATGCCAGTCGTGTCCCTGCAGCAACTGGCCCTGCTCCCCATGATACCCCTCCCGGCTCGACAACCCTCTGACCTGTCAACTGCTCGAACAAGTCGGCCATCTCCATAGTCTTCCCAATATCCCCCGATACCCCCGAGGGTGCTGGCGGAATAACAGGCACGAAAGAAGATGGAGGCACAACCTTCCAAGGCCTCTTCGATATATGCCTGCTCCTGCCCATCACAGGATCAATCTTAGCAGTGTGGCGCTCGAGTGGGGACATGCTGGGCACGTGTGCCTCTACAGGGTGTGCAACAACGTCAACGGGGTCCACTTGTCGCTCCACCTCGCTGCGATGTGCAACCATAGCATCCACCGCAACAAGACTATCTTGAGTGTGATCTGCGACCACATCCTCCATTGCGGCAACGGCAATGCCGACAAGTGCTCTATCCACCTGCCCCTCCACCTCCGTGCGATCGCACCCAAGCAACCCCCCTGTGTCTGTCGTGGTCGCACCGTCGCCCACATCCGCCTCATCAGTACTGGGTAGTACCGTGTCGCTGGCCCCACATAAACCACGCAACCCTACCCTCGCGTCCTCCTGGTGGTCGTCTGCACGATCCACCACGTGTCCCTCTGTGCAGAGTCCACCATCTGCAACATCTACAGGACCATCGTGTCTACACTCTGCTGCTAGTCTGGCGGCAGTGACCTCCTCTACACTACACCCCATCTCCCTCGCCCTGGTCGTGTCCTGCTCCAACGCAAGCCGCTGTGTCGTGGCACACCCCGACACCATTTGTGCCAAACGCTCTGTGCCAAACGCTCTGTGCCAAACGCTCCTCCTCAAGCACGTCCTCGGGGTCCATATGTAGCCTCCTGGCAACACGACCGACGTCGTCACCAGTCCTGCCCTCCTGTATCTTGCCTGGCGCTCTGGCAGCCTCTGTCAACAAACCTGAACTAGCACCGCCAAAAACCGACCCTATGAGGTGTGCGACTTTGCTCACCGGTGTCTGAACACGCACCCCGTCGGGCCGAGCATCCGAAGTGGGTGGACGTCCAAGGTCAAAGCCATCACTGAAAATGCCAGAGGGAATCGATCCCTGTGGTACCTCCAAACCAAATCCATGTCCCCCACTACCGCCCCCGCCAACAACACCGGGGCCAGGAGTAACAAGGAAGGCGCCACCCGCTCTATCCTCAATCGGCCCACTGCCGTCACCGCCGTTGAATCCATGCTCGTCCCCATGTCCTCTGTCGTGGTCCGGTCCCTCCCTCTCGACGTCAGAGTCCTCGTCATCGGCGGCATCTCCGTCGTCAGACCTGTCACCTCCCTCGTCCTCGCTCGACGATCGCACAACCTGTGTCTGCTTGCGCCCTCTATCCGTCGCACTCCTAGTCAAGGGAGGGGTCATGCAATCAACATCACAATGGCTCTGCCGATCGCGCGAATGCATATCACTGGCAGCCTCATGATCACTCTCTCCGCCAGACTCGTTACCAACATCAGGTGTGTCACTGCCTCTCTGCTCCAAGTCCTCTGGGTCCGTCTACGGCTCTGCCTCCATCTCGTCTGCAGCATGCGGGTCCGTGGGTGGATCGTACTCGATATCCTTGTTGTACAGCTCGATATGAGCTGCACGACGACCAAACACAGTCTGAACCACAGGGGGGTGGCGAACCGTCGAGGCACGCTGCATCCTGCGCGCCTAGCGCGCGATCTCCTCGTCCGTCAATGACCCCGGCTGCAAAGTACCTGATCTGCACGGCTCCGGGACGTCGTCCAACCCCTCCTCAAGATCACCCCACGGCATAACAAGTCCCCTCCTCCTCTGTCTACACGCCAGAAGCTTCTTGTTCGCGCACATCTCCACCATTTCAGTCAGCTTCGTGAAGTCCAACCTGTTGCGGCGTTTCTCGTGGATACGCTCTTGCAACGCCCAGTTCCTCTCCGCAGGAGAGGCGCAGACCCACGTGTACATCAGACGTGTGGCGATGGCACAAAGCTCAGGGGCACTGCTGCCGTGCAAAACCCACCAATCAATAATGGCTTGTGTCTCACCCGGCCCCTCGCACGAGTCCACGTCTCCAGTGCCTGCATCTCTACCCCAATCATACCTCGGCCCGCGCGCGTGGAAGTCGTACAACTGCTGACGGACCAACCTGTACCTGTCTCCCTGTCGGTCGAAGCCCGTCTGCGTGTAGATGTACTACGTGTCATCTCCCTGATCGCTGCGCCTCAGAGACTGGAAGTAAACAAAGTTCCGCCTCCTGGGATTGAGAAGATGGGCGGCAGCATGGGCGGGCTCGAGCAGATGGCATGCACGAGCGTAACAATCCTGCAGCATGCCAACCAGGCGAGGTCTCGTCGACCCCAACTTCCAAATCTCCTCAGCCAACTTGGTCACCCACCGGAAGATGCAAGAGATTACTAAGCCCCCCTGGTCCAACTTCCTCAACAACTGCACGACCAGGGTGAAGACGTCGATGAGATCATCCATCTCCTCCCAAAACAGCCCGCATCGCACCTGTGTGTGCACCCACCCGGCCTGCCCGAGCAGCCCCCTCTCCCATGGAAGTCGCGCCCAATCCCCCTCTAACATCATCGTCTCAAGTGGAACCCTGCGGTCGCGCAACCTCTCCATCATGATGAAGATAGACGCGAATCGTGTCTGGTAAGGGTACAACAACTCTCGGCCGCGTCGTGGTCTGCCTACTGTCCCCTCTCCGCCCGCGGCGCTGCCACCCAAACGGTCCGCCCGTGCATCGCGATCGGTCCTCGCGCTGTAACTCTTGACCAACGCGAGAGCCGATCAGTGACATCTAATAAATCGGACAACCGTCCTCGCCCTGGTCAACAAGTCGATGGCCCATGTCTTATCCTTGACCATGTCTGACAACATCAAGTTGCAGCAATGGACAGAACAAGGGAGCCAAGGGATGTAATGGATATCTAGATCGGGATCGTTGCAAATCGCTCGATCGACGACAACATAAAGTGATGCAGAGTCCGTGTAGATGGCGTTGATGTTCTTCACGCCGAACTTCTCGAACACCTTCTTCCAGCGCTGCAAGACGACGTCTGTCGTCTCTGCGTCAACCCCTTCCCTGCGCACCGTCGTGAAAAGGAAGGCGCCCGACTGTCCTGCTGCCAGGAAGTTCACGATGGGCTCAGAGTTCAGGGACTTCCTCCCATCCGTGAGGATGGTAGCCCCTGTGTGCTGCATCTGCTCGCGTATGTCACGTAGCTTATCAGCTATGTATGCACGCTCCTCCTGTATGCCACTGCCTGCTATGCGCTTGAACTAGGGCAAAGTAGGCTTCATGCCCCGGGGCATGTTCTGCAAATGTCTCGTGAGGGCCCTGTACTCGGGCATCCTCGCTCTCTCAAATGGGACACCACCAATATACCACCACTGCAGGAAGAGATGGTCGAAGGTGGTCTAGCACTCCGGGTCGTACATCTCATCCAGTCTGACCTGCTTCAAACGTTTCGGGTCCGGCACACGTGCCGCAGGAGCGGTGTCCGCCCTCCTCTTCCCACGGCCATCCATAGGCGCACGAGTCCTTGTCTGATGAGCAGTGCGTCGTGCCTTCAATGATCCCCC